ACGTACGTACGTACGTACGTACGTACGTACGTACGTACGACGTACGACGTACGTACGTAGTAGTAGTAGTAGAGTAGACGAGTACGAGTAGAGACGAGAGAGAGAGAGACGAGAGAGAGAGAGAGAGAGAGAGAGAGAGAGAGGATATACCATAAAAGATATGCATGTAGATGATAGAAATAATAAGTTTGACAGCGAAGAGACATCAACTCCTCAAAAACAACCCTTTCGTGCTGAATTTTTGTGGTTGTCTTTTCTCTGTATGATTCGGTTGGAATCATTTGTAAATGGATTACAATCATAGTGCTCGCCTCAGATGTACAATGAAGACTGAATTATTACTCATTCTTAAGCATCTTTCTGGGAGCTATGAAACTAATTCTTGGCAGGATAACTACAAAATGATACACAATCTTCTCCAAACTTGAAATTATTCATTCAGATTTTCTTTAAAATGAATATTTAAATCTACAGTTTTTGTTCACTTGACAGATGTTGCACTTGAATACTTCTTGGAAGCTGCAAAGGAGGAATTTATGGTTGGATGCATAGATCAAGCACTGTGGCATCCAGATTGTTGTAGTAACAGAGTGGCAAACTTTTTTTTTTTTTGGGGGGTGGGGGCGTGAAATCTTTCTTTTATTGATGAAACCAAATGTTGGAGTTCGGTAATATTGAGAAATTTGATAGAATTTCAACCAGTTGTTAAATTTTGATATAGAAGGCTACTTCCCTTCGGATAACTCATTTAGATTTTTATTTTGTTTTGCTGTTGGGAGAAGGGGAGCTTTAAGAACATGTCATTTATGAATGCTACTTAATGATATTATTGAGATTTTTAGACTCAGTTGTTACAAATCAAATTTCCACTCAGGCAACAAACACGATTTTAGTTATGGGAATTGGTATGTCGACCAAAATAAAATGGCTGTGAGCATGTGTAAATAAATATGAGCAGGACATTGAATAAGTCCAAGACAACACTTTATGTGCATACATATGAACTCTGCAAAATGCACTCTGTAAAGCACAGCTCGCATTCTTATGTATAATCAATGAAAACCAACAAATGAGATGGCATCAATATAGATGGTGTATACAAACATGTCATACAAAAATGTTTCTTCCATGTAAGAAAAGAAGAGTAGACTTGATGGTACATGAAATTGGAGAGGCACCTCAGAAATTGTAGACTTTTTCATGTACGGTTCTGGCATCCATCATTGATCTTCCAGTTTAAAATCTGCCGCAATTTCACGTGGTCCACTAGAAGAAGTGCACCGCCACTTAGGACTTAAAACAAACATCAAGTCGTTACAGAGTAATATAATAGCTATAAATAAATGTTCAATATCAAAGAATGGTAAATTATTATTCGAAAAGAATGAGTGAACATGGAATTAATTGGAAACTAAAAAAAATGTCAGCGCATCCAACATACAACATTTGAGCCTGCACATTTGTAAACTGAAATTTCTTGTTGGTAAAAGGTTATACCTCTTAGCTTATGAGAAATATGCCGATAGATGCCCCAAGTTTGATCATTGGGGCCTGAATTTTAAGGAATGAACAATCAAAAAAAAAAAAGCCCAAATCACAGATCTCCAAGCAACAGCTGACAATCTAGATTTCATATGCCATTCTGAAAATTTTGGTCATTTCAAAGGTCACAGTACCTATTGGACGAAGTCCTTCCAGTTTATAAAGCCAATGTATTTTCCATATTAAACTTAGAATGCCTCAACAACTTGCAAACATTCTTAGCGACCAAGCCCTTTGCAGTAGCATAATCCCAGAACCGCTCCAATTTACTATCTTCACCAGCATGAGAATCCCCAAGAGATTTGTAAATTTTAGCGGTTATGTTAAGACCTTTCTTGGCCATGTCATTCAATAACTCAGAGGCCATTATAGGCTTCCCTGCATCTAAGTATGCATAGGCCATATTGGCAAAAGTAAGAGTACAACCAGGTAAACCATTACTTTGCATCTGAATAAATGCCTTCTGTGCAAAATCCACCATGCCTTTCTTGCAAAATCTTCGGATAAGCGCTCTATAAACAGATATATCAGCACCAAGTCCTCTCTTAGCAAGCTCCAAAGGAATCCTAAGAGCTGCCTCTTCATTTCTCTGGTTGCAATAACCATCAACAAGCCACGCGTAAGTGCTATAACTTGGGCAGAAACCTGCATCCAATTATTCAAGGAAACAAACAATAAGCACCAGTAATTTGGCTGATGGTTTTACTGTATTTGGTTCAGAACAAGCATGAATGGAGAGAACTAAATTGTAAACGGGAAGTATGAAATTCAATGACTATGGAAAACCATCCTCCGTTGTCCTCATAGTCCTATAATGATGGAGGGAGAGTGAGTGAGAAACACCAGAACAGAACAGACCCAATTGATGGGTCCCAATCTCTGCTAAACATCATGTCACCCCTCTGATGGATGGCCATGACCCAATGCCCAGTGCTTTACCCGTGGTGTGTTTTCTAAAGTATACATTCCCCAAAGGTAAAATAAAAGTTTTACGTACATAGAGAACTGCAAGAAATAAAGAATTCAATAATAAAAACTATTCCTAGTGATTTTGACTATTTTCCTTTTCGTATTCCTCGGCAGTTGTTTGTGAGATTAGTTCCTGTATTTTCAGGATTCATGTTGAGTTTTGACAAAATTTGACGTTGGCTGCCTAACTAATACAACCCAGCCTTTTTACCTGGGGATGGGACGGGTTAAGATAAAGTTTAAGGTCATCACCCTTCTTAGACCTTGAAATTAGTTCCTCAGATTTTGAAACCAAAAATAGCTCAGAGAATGGAGATCCTTATTAGCTATTGACATGTTCATAATATATTAAAAAACCTTCAAGATTAATTAATTATTAGTATTATTCTAAATCAGATAAACACAAAAATGATGGGTTGCATTGGGGGAGCTCTACTATCAAGAAAAAGAAAATGTTCTGTAAACCACTGAAGGGGGTAGTTCAATCATTTACACAATGTCCAGAAATTTGGAGTAATAGGATCTATTACTCCAGTACAGAGGTACTGAAAGAATCCAACTATAGAGATTTTTCAAGAAATCTGATTTTGCTCTTCCACCTCTCATAAAATCATGCGATGAGATTACAGAAGACAACATTTGATAGAGAAACCCGTAGAGAAAGGGAGTAGTGGACAAAGTACGCAATTAACTATTCATTTTGTACAGGAATTTGTTAGAACTCAAGTCTGTGGCATATTCATACGCATTTAGACACCAGCTTGGTTGGTTAGAAGCCTAGAATAATTTTAGTGTTAGGATTGAGAGACCTAGAGCAGCGGCTTTGTGGAAAGAAAGGTGAAAGAGTAAAAGAACTTCCAGTGTTGGTCTGTTGACTAACTATGAGATGCAAGGGATGGTGGAAGTTAAAAATAAGATATGTAAATAAATTTAAAGAAATCAGCCATCATAATTCTCATGTGACTATTTCTTGTGAACGTAGGGGGGGTTGAGAAACTCAAAACCTAGAAGTTCACAACTTCATTCATTGAGTACCAGGTAAATATATTTTGATCTGTCTTTTGTGGTAGTTGCGTAATACATAGAAAATGCTGGTGTGGCTCCTTCCTATCTTAATGAGCCAGGTCAGAGCGGATATGCCCCATAATTCAATTTGCACATGTACAGCTTGGGACATGCCACATAAATGCAAGTCAAAATTGGAGGTGGCAGAGTATCGGTTCATCTGATTAGCAAGCAATGCAATGTTTAGTATTCAGTATAAAAATTTTTGTACAGCAAGTGTGTTTACTAAGAAAAGGGATTATATTATACACTAGATAAGATAAATTTGCAGACATGATCGTGAACATAAGAACAAATTGAGAAATAACTCTAAATTCTCAACTCTAATAATAACATAAAAATATTTGGGAAAATTTGAGTGGAAAACCTAGATTACATAAATAAATAAATACCATTCTTTCTTTAAATTGCCACAAGGAACTGATGACAAAACAAATCACCCCTGAATACATATATTACACTGATCCACATATATACTTGATCTCAAATATTGAGTATCTATCTGATACCGGATTAAGCCAAACAAATAGTGACGCAAGAACGTAATGCATAACTACTTTTATTTCCAACTGTTTAACTGTAGAGCAGGGTTGTCGCATCGCTTTGGAAATTAAGAGATGAAAGGGGAAAAAAAAATATATTGATAATCCAACTAAAGATAAATAGAAAATGGAATTCTGTATGCAATGCTAAACCATGAGAAAGAATAACCTTTTGATTTTAGCATAAAAGTTCCTCTGCAGCAAGTTTGTTAAGAAAAGGATATATATAGGATACATTAAATAAGATGAGTTTGCATCCCAAACATAAGGACAAACTGAGACAAGACCCAGTAAATCAGATAATTGAATGTTTGATGAACTATCATGCTTCCAGATTGTCGAAACAATGAAATAAGAAGCAAACCTGCATTGAGCATCTCAAAGAGGACCTCGGCCGCCTCACTGATTTCTTGGGTCTTGCAAAACCCACGAATCAAAGCTTTATAAGTGAACTGGTCTAGTTTGAGTCCTCCTTCCAACATCATATTTCTGATCTTCCAAGCAAACACCATGTCCCCTCTCTTGCAATAGGCATTGATCAAAGTATTGCAGGTCACATTATCAGGTTCAATCTTCCTCTCTCTCATCTCATCCAAGAGCAAATTAGCAGCTCTCATTTTCCCCTCCTCACAAAGCTTACGAATGATCGAATTATATGTAGCCACCCCAGGAAAAATCCCCTTAGCCTCCATCTCATGTCTCAGTCTAAAAGCCTCAGAAACATCATTAACCCTACAATAACCATTAATCAATGTCGTGTATGTGATGTGATTAGGCTTTGTATCTCTCATTTCCTTAAAAAGCTTCCAAGCCTCTCTCATTCGACCTTCCCGACAATATCCATGAATCAATACATTATAAGTCACTATATCAGGCCTTATACCTTCTCTCTCCATCCTATCTTGAATACAAAAAGCTTCATAATGCATGCCCTTTTTGCAAACAAAGCGATAAGAGTATTGTAAGAGAAGAGGTCTAAAGGAACCCTTCTTTCATCCATGTCTTTTACAAGTTTCTCAGCTTTCTCTACATCACCAGAAATGTAACAAGCATGGATCATTGCATTGTAAACATGGGTATTGAACATAATTCCAATTTCCACCATTCTTTCATGAATTTTCCATAGAGTGGCTGTTAATTTTTCTTTTGCAAGTGCACTTAACAGAGAGGTGCAAGCATGGAGATGGGGTTTAAAACCATGGATATTCATCTGGTTAAATATCTGGATTGCGTCTTGGGTCATCTTAGATTGGGCATAATAGATGATTAACCAGCTCAAAACCTCAGAATTTGAAATGGCGTCGCTGCAACTATTTAGAAGTGCATTTAGAACAGATGGAGAAGACAAAAATTCCCTAAACATTATCCTTTTAACCAAGGATTGTGCAATATTGTACTGTTTGTTCTTGGTGAGAATATGAATCATGGTCCAGTATGGTTGGACTGAGTGTTTATAATTTGGAATGGACTCTACCCATTTGAAGAAACTCCATGAAGCCAAAGAATCAGAAGATAGATTTGACAATATGGAATTCACCATAGTGTTTGTAAACCTAGAAGTAATATTGGGTCTTGTCAGAACATGGAATTGTCCCTTCAAGATGATCCCACAAACCTTTCTGATAAAATCAGTTTCTTGTTTATGTGCCATCAATCCCGCCATTAAAGCAAAGAAAAACCTCTCAGGGTAAGAAATCACATGACCATTCTAAGGCCAATAATTACACGGCAGTTTTAGACTTGGCTGTCATTCTGGAAAATGCAGATACAGGCAAAATATTGAGATTGGTAGTGTATACTGTATATTCCGATGAAGATTGGTGAGAGAAAGAAGTTGAGCAACCATTCTTGAATGAGAAACGAAACATCAGCTTTAGCTGCAGTGAGAGGGACGGTCTCTGAAACTCTGCACTTCAGTCGACAAATGGGAAAGAGAAGCTGGGCATCCATCACAATGACATAAATAAGTTCAGAGAGAAAAAATAATTTGGACAACCATTATAGTGATAAAATAAATATAAGCTTCCACTTATTCGGTAGTCGTTGCAATGAAAAAATAACAGAGAGAGACATGAATTTGGGCAACCATTCAACTGGTGGCATAAAAGCGCTTACGTAGATATGGAATTGAAAAACCATTAGAGTGATAAAATAGAAGGATTTAGAGGGAGAAACCAAGAAAAAAAGGGTAAATAATAGAGAAGCCAATATAGCGATAAAGACATGTAAGTGATGAAGGCCATTTTTAAAACATTATATGAAGATTTAAGTACACAAGAGAGTGTCAAGACCATTTATCTTAGGGTGCGGTTTCTATAAGGTTGCAACCTTAATCAATTCAATTCAGGCGCACATCCAAATTTTATCATATGTAATTTTGTTGTAAATTTTTTTTAAAATTATTTTAAAATCCATTTTCATATTTAATTAGAAAATTTTATATTCCAAAAATAATTAAAATCAAGTAAATCTATAGATATATGAAAATCTTGAAAATAGACAGACTAGATAATGTGTTGCAAGATGCACTATTTATAGGACTCGAAAACTTTTTTTTTTTTTTTCATATTCATACATCTTGACATCGAGATATCAATTAGACGGTTTTTCAACGTTAAAAGAAACTTTTCGATAGATTTTTGAGGTGCATCCGTGATTCTACATTTTAAAGTTACAACCTTATATAAACTTTTACTTTTATCTTTTGTACATCAGTTCACAATCATTATAGTCCCTTAAATTTAAAAATGGGTGGTTGTAACTTGTAAGAGTGTCATTAGATAGATACAAAATTATAAGAAAACAACTCTCAAATTTTGTAATTTACCCCATGAATCCAATTTGTCATCTAACAAGTGGAAATGATTGTGACATACATGTACAAACGATAAATATCTCTTTGTAAACCATCCTTAAAAAAATCATATCAAAATAATATTATTGTGAATTGGTACAAAATTTAGAGGATATTTTTAAGAATAATTCATCAAAATGCACCAACTAGATCTACCATTTAACATTTACTTATTTTTTATCTAATTTTAAAAATCATATCAAAATAATATTATTGTGAATTGGAATAGATGAAAACTAAATGCTAAATAATTGATAAATCATGTGTATTTTGATTGAGGGATTGTATATTATGAGGCCATTTACCGTTGTTACAATGAGGTCACAATTTGTACTATCTATTATATGTCAAATTTGATAGCTTGGGGTGTGATACAAAGTTTAAGATTTTTTTTTAAACTTTGAGTGCAGTCAATGACACACTCATAACCACTCGATTTAATAATTGGAAAAAATCTATAGAAGGTTTGACACCTTAAAATGTAGAATTAAGGTGCACCTCTAAAATATTTTGAAAAGGTTGTTTTGATATTGGAAAACCATTTAATTTATAATTTTGACATTGAGATATATGAATAACTAATTGATTATTATCAAACAAAAAAAGTCGATTACGAGTTCTTCAACACCTAGATCTTGCCTTCTAAAAATTGGGCGTTCCTCGTTAATTATCAGGATTCTTTTTCCAAGCACATAGAACATGGTGAAAGTTTTATCTTTTGATGTTGATTATTGCCTTCAAAGGCTATGTTCTTAAAATGCATGTCTAACATGATCCTTTGGGAGCATAATTTACTTATACTCTATCAACCAGAAGACCCACCAGGGAGATTTTGTCACTATGAAATTTTAGGAACCACTCAATAATTATTAGATGATTATTTTCAAGAAAACAAATTAAAGTTTGCATTTGTTAACCATTAGATCTCACCATCTAAAAATTGGTTGGTCTATATCCAATCTTGATATATTTTTATTTTCAAGTGCATGGATGGTACAATTAGTTGTGGTTAATCAGTAGGGCTGATGGCGTTACATCCCCAAACCTTAGAGGCCTAAAATTATTTCTAGGCGGAGTTTTACTTGAGGAGTAAATGGACATTCTACTCTCGAGAGATATAATATGTTTTGGTATTCTTAAAATTTTGGGCACCAAAAAAGTGAACAAAGCTACGTTGCATCAGTTAAAAGACTTACTTAGGAAGATTTTGTTTAACTTGAAAATTTGAGAACCACTTAAGAATTAGTAGATGATTATTCTAAAAAAAAAATTTGAAAATTGAGTTCTCTAACATTTAGATCTCACCGTTTAAAACTTCGACGATATTTATTCAATCCCAAGACATCATTTTATTTTTAAAGTGCATAGAAAGTACAATAATGAATTATTTTCTTCAGGTTAATATCTGGGTTGAAAAGGCTGCATCTCCAAATTTTGGGGTCGTAAAATTATTTGTAAAGACATTATGCTCATGCGGAGTAGAACATCTATTGGCCAAATTATTTGATGTACAAAAATGAACAGTATCATCCTGCCGGAGCAGCATATCTTTTTTGTGGTGGGCGGACACAAAAAATTTCCCCTGGGATTTCACTTGGCCGAAATTTCAAAGACTCACAGTGAATTTGCCTCCTCCTGGAAAAAAATTTAACGCAGCAAACCGTAGCCTTTCCCTCGTCGGCGTATCCATGTATGTTTTACAGTCATTTTCACTCTCACACTACAACATGGACATTTTTTCGCTCTAAAACAAATACAGTTCTTCGCTCCTAAACATGATCAGTTTCTCACTCTAAAACATGAACAATAGTTACGATGGTGAGGACGTCGTTGAAGAATTTCAGCTTCACCTACCACCACTTCCTACCCCCATTTTTATTTATATAAACGCTTCCTCTCCCATTATTTGAACTCCAGCCCCTCTCTC